TGTTCCCCTCCCCCCCCCCTTGTTTGCACCCATCACCAATGCACACCAATGTACATTACCAAGGCACACCAATGTACACCGCCACTGACCAGAAGAAGGCAACGCGGTCGCCACGGCCAGCCTCCACGTGCCGGTCAAGCACATTGTAGCAGATGTTCGTCAGGCCGCCTGACACGACACACAACAGCGCGCACGTGTTAGCAACAGGTTTCATGCCAGCGTTGCACAAAACGCACACCCATCAAGACAACATGATGGCGTGCATGCGTCCCTTGCAGCCATGCCTTGGTTTCTCCTTTGCAGTCCCCCAACGCACGTGAATCTCTTTCCACTCCTTACAACCAGCGCACCTTTGAACCAGGAGATCTTGACGGGGCCTTGCTCACGGTCGTAGTTCCAGCTGTGAAACTCGTCCCACTTCTTCTCCCAGTGGAACTGCTCTGCAATCCTCGTCCAGAACGCCTCCTGCACAGCAACCATTGCACAAGACACAAGTACGCAAGTGTGTGGACTTGGGGTGTGAGGTTGAACCTCGTGTGACAACAGCACAGCAAATGTCGCCACAGTCATCGCGGTCATAAAAAGTGCCGCAGAGGAATCGAACAACATGCGCTGTCAAGAGCACATGTCCACACACCCATTGATAAACATACACACGCAAACAAACATGCACACACACGCAAGCATGCATACAGACAAACACAAACACAAACACACACATACACATGTACGAACACTCACCGGGTTCTCGATGCTCTCGCGGTACATCTTCTCATACTCGGCGAGAGATGCCACGTGTGCGCCCTTGCGCGCATGGTTCGAGGGCTGGTACAGCTACAACATGCATAACCAAATGAAGCATGCATCAGATGCAAGGAGGACAACAAACAACGGAAGACACAACAGAAAAAGTGTCACGTGGGATATTGTCACATACCACAACCAACATCAAACACAAAACACCAGTGGACATGCTTGCTGCTTATCTCTCATCCATTGTTTCCACCCTCTCACCAACCTCCTTCTCCTTGGTGGGCGCGTCAGCCAGCTCCATGAACTTCGACATGATGCGTGGTTGGTGCAGTGGCAGTGGACGTGTTGGATGGATGCGGTGTTTGGTGTGTGTGTTGTGTTGTGTTGTGTTGAGATGAGAAACACTGAACACAAGGTCGCGTCGTCGAAATTTATTGGATGATGTACACGAAATTGGTAGCAGGAAGGATTCAGCGGTGGTGGCGGCGAGACACAGACTATGTTGGTTGGAGGGATGTGTGAGGAGGGAAGGGGTTGGTTGGATGGTGAGGGAAGGGGGTTGGCACAATGTGAGATTGTGACATGCAACAACAGATGTGCATGTGTGCGTGTTTGTGTAGGTGCACAGGACAGGAACAAGAGCATGCATGTTCATCACACAACGAAGCAATACCTTGGATATGGACAGTGAGCCAGAGCGCCCTTGAGAGCCGCCTGCATCATCACCGCTTGTGTTGTCCGTCTCACTGCCGTCCTCACCGCCCTGTGCGTGTGTGCATGTGTGCGTGCATGTGTGTGTGAGCGGCGAACAAGATGCACAGCGTCGCAGTGTCATCGTACACCAACCACAGGTAACACCACACGCCATCACACGCCATCACACGCCACCACACGCCACCACACACCATGACACGCAATACGCACGCACATTGAACCGCGTGCGCTTGTCTGTGACATTGCCCTGCTTGCGCAATGCCTCCAGCTGCTGTAACTGCCGCTGTTCCCTGCGCGCCGCCTTTGCTGCTCGCTCCGCCGCCAAAATCTCCCGCCGTAACTGCTCCTCCCGCTCACGCAGCGCGCGCACCTTCGCATCTGTGTGTGTGTGTGTGTGTGTGTGTGTGTGTGTGTGTGTGTGTGTGTGTGTGTGTGTGTGTGTGTGTGTGTGTGTGTGTGTGTGTGTGAATGAGTCACGATGTTGGGAGCTGAACGCGATTCAAGCCAACACCACCACCACCACCACCACCGCTGCTGCTGCTGCTGCCACCACGATCTCACCTGGCTGAGCGGTTCGCTGCGCTTTCATGAGCCGCTGTTGACGAGAAAACAAACAAGAGATGCAGTGCAAAATATGCCCAGGACAAGTTTGAGAGCAGCACGTGAGAACGAACACCATGAACAAGATGCAAGCGCACGTGCTCGTTGGACTGCAACCGCATACAACAACGCACACACACACACGCACACACCTATACACGCACACACACACACACACGCACACGCACACGCACACGCACACGCGCATGCACACGCACTCACACACGCACAAACACAACCATCTCCCCTGTTCTACCTTGCTCCTGACGATGGGTGGTGTGGCGCTGCCGTGCGTCTGCTGCTGCAATCGGTGCTGCAGCTGCTGTGGATTCACATCGGGGACGGCGTGCGCATGCATTGGCGACAGCATCTCTAATGCGTCCGCCTCTGCCGCGCTGCCGGCACGGTGCACACCCTTTGTTGCTGTTGTTGTCGTTGTTGTCGTCGTTGTCTGTGGCTGTGGTGTCATTGTCGCTGCGGTTTTGTTTGCGTAGCCGTGGTTGCTGTTGGAGCGCGATGCATTGGACAGCGATGACGACAACGAGCCACCGTTCACCACACCACCGCTGCCGCCGCTATTGGTGTCCCGTGGTCGCATGTGTTGCGGCTGAATGTGCAGCGAACGCTTCCCTGCCGCCTTTGGCGCTGCCTGTGACGGCGATAACGATGACGATGATGATGACGATGCTTTGTGTGAAGCAGGTGGTGCTGCATGTTTGCTGATCGCAACAGTTGATGGTGTCGTGATCACCGCCGCTGTTGCTGCTGCTGTTGACGTCGCTGGTGCCTTCACACGCGATGCTCGCACCTCCCCACCATCATCATCATCATCATCATCATCATCACGTGGTCTGTGTTCATGGTGCGGTGCCGGTGTCGGGGTGGTGTTGTTCTTCCGCGTCTGGTCGGCCATCGTCTCCAACTGCAGCGAAACAGCCGCCATCTTGGCCATGTGCTGTGTTGTGACGGGACGCGGGTGTGTGTGTGTGTGTGTGTGTGTGTGTGTGTGTGTGTGTGTGTGTGTGTGTGTGTGTGTGTGCGTGTGTGTGTGTGTGCGTGTGTGTGTGTGTGTGTGTGTGTGTGTGTGTGTGTGTGTGTAGGGGTGCGAGCTGGAGGCATCAGGCTGCAAAGATTCACGAACATATCACGTGCACTGTATCTCCATCTTCACCCCACCCCAACACATCACCCCCACCCCTCTCTCATCATGCCAATACCGCCGCCCACCTGCTGCAGGTCTTCCAACGCGTCCCGGAGTTCCTCCTCTTCGGCGCTCGCAGTGCGCGTGTGCCGCCCCTTCCGTGGCAGCGGCGTCTGACCTCCACCATCACCATCACCGCCACGAACACCGTCATGGTCGATCGGTGCAACAGCTGATGAGGCCGTAACAGCGGCAGGCTGTTGCTGTTGCTGTTGCTGTTCCTCTTTACGCTTCTTCGGCTGCTTCTTCTGTTGTCGCTGGTGTTGCTGTTGCTGTGCCTGCTGCCGTTGCTGTTGCTGTTGCTGCTGCCCCGCCGCGCGAGTGTTTGCGTCGTCTGCAAACCAGTTTGGCTCCGGCTCCCCGCGCTCCCGCCGCCGCAACGCCTTTGCACATGCATGTGTACGCGTGCGTGTGTGTATGTGTGCGTGAGTGAACATGTGTGTGTGTGCATGCGGCGAACATTACAGTACAAACATGCAATGGACATCATTCATCAAGCGGGCTCCACCACCACCACCATTGCCACCACCTGTGCAATGAAGTTTGCGCAGGCGACGTGCCCGGCCTGCATTGCGATTTTCCGCGGCGTCAGGCCCTCATAGTCCACGCCGCTCACTGCAGTGGGCCGCATGTGTGTGTGTGTGTGTGTGTGCGTGTGTGTGTGTGTGTGTGTGTGTGTGTGTGTGTGTGTGTGTGTGTGTGTGTGTGTGTGTGCGCGTCACGGCGAGCTGGCGCTGCAGGCGCCGCTGCTCAAGTTCGCTCCTGGTGGCCGGACAGGTAAAGGAGAGAAAGACAACGGAGAGAGAATGTGTGAGTGTGTGTGTGTGTATGAGTGGTTATGATTTTAAGTGTAGGTGTACGTGAGAATATGTGAGTTGAGAGACAACATCTCACAGACGGCCGAAAGACAACGACAACACACACGGCAGCCGCGGCAACAACGATGATGAAGAGATGCGACAGGGCAGCAGCAGATAATACCATTGAAGCGGATCTGCAACCCTG